GTCAAGTGTGGTTTTGCTGGAGGAGCTTCTAGGGCTTAATAGTTTATAAGGAGAAGGGTTAGGTTGCGAGCTAACTCCTCTCCTTATGAGCTAGCTAGGGTATGACATTCGGAACATGGCCCATGAATTAGGCATTATGGAAGAGTATATCAGCGCTTGACATCTAGATTGCTTTCGAAATTTTGACGACTCGTCCTCGCTACAGCATGTCATGTATGTGCAGTGGCGGCGCGCGGCGGTGCGACGCCGCAAAGTGACCTTGCACTACTAGCCGGGGGGGGGCAACTTTCTGAAAGCGTCTAATTACACCTCCCTTAGCATTATGTGACTATATTGACTCAGTTCTGACCCCATATAAGTAAGCCATGTATATAATTGCTGTTTTTTACAACATGCCCGATATATTATAATTGTCATTCAGGTGCCGATAGTGGTCCGTGTGATTGACTTCGACGGCGAACCACTGCACTATTCGACCGACTACAGTAAGCCAACCAGCCCAGAACACGTGCAGATTGTTGAAGATGCTGTCAAGGTGAGTATTTTTTGAGCATATTTGGCATTCCAAACATCCCATGTGATTCAGGGTCTCGGTGATGTATTCCGTCAGACGGACATCTCACCTCGTTATGTCACCACCGATGTGAACTACATCACAAATCCCAAGGTCGAGAACAGGTACGTCACTGATCCATTACAGTGATCGAGTTAACGATGGTGATTTAGTGAGACAAAATAGACCCCTGGTTCGGTCCTCTGTAGTCAGGTTAGCCGTAGCCAACTGGTTCTGCGCATGAAAACCAATGCGAATATTTCGATCAGAGGTCTGCGATGTGAAGCCATCTTTTTTTTCCAGGGAATATTGATTGTATCTTTCATAGACGCTTTCTTTACACAGTAGAACTTGCTAAAATTCCTAAGATAGCAGAGCTTCAAGGTCATTAACCCAAATACTTTTTGTACGTGATCCTGCAAAAAAAGTAATTGCAAAACTATCCGTCACCCGTTTTGGCAGTTGAAGGTCGTTTTATGGCAATTCATTAATTTTTTCTTACAGTAAAGTAAGTGTATCAACTCGTGCCATGAACTCAGTCGGGGTCATAAGTGGGCGTTTTTTCTTGCTTGAATTTACAGAGTTGGGAGTAGTAGGGACCAGGACCAACAGTCTGGTTCGCTTTTCTCCAAAAATTTTGCAACCTCTCCAATTGAGGAGGGTCTCGGTGCAACCCCACCACCACCATCAGCCTTT